ATTTAACATAGAGTTCAATTTAGTAAGTAGAAAACTTGCTCCCCCAACTTTTTTTGGTTAATAAGAACAATAAATAACTACATAAAGATAAGAATTAAATAGAAGGTTGAGGTAGGAAATGAAGCCAATAATAAACTTCACTGGAATAGCTAGAAATCAATATGACTTTTTGTCAAATAATCAAATGTCTTCCTGAAATTGCTTATTTTCATGAGTTCTACACATTTCACTATCATCTTTCTTCTAATTGGAATATATAATAAATGTTTTCATAATTAGCTTGAGATATTCATGTGTATTGCCACCTCATCCTAGTACAAATAAGATAAATTTTTTTGTGGTCTAGCTCACATATTCAAGCCATATCAATGGGGATGCACACATCAGGATGGACAGGTAGTTTTAGGACATCAGTAAAGTTTGTATGAAACTGGAGCACAGAAAGGACAAGGAATTGTCTTACAATTGTGCTTTTCAGTAATTATATCCCTTAAGAAGTCATTTTGTTTCCAGAAAAAATATAAAAACAGGCATGATACATGAATGCAATCCTTAAGAGTCTGGGACAAATAAATCATGAATTTAAGGATAGCATGAGGTATATAGCAACTTCTAGGCCACTATGGACTATATTCTGAGACTCTGTCTTAAGAACAACAATAAAAGTACACACCTAAGATCATAAAGGTTTTAGGAGAACAATGTTTTTTTTTAATTAATAGGCATATGAACCTCAGTATTGATTCCAACTGTATTCTTCCACAAGGAAAACAGCTGTTGAATTGTTGGCCAGGTGCTGAATGCATATTATCCATTCAAAAATGACTTCATCACAAATTTCTTTTAGAATTTATTGATAGCATTGTTCACTGACTTAATGAGGCAGGTGCTATTAGTGTCCATCCTTATTTTCATGCATGTCAGAGTAACATGCATCTGCCCAAGGCTACACTCCAACCTTTGTACCGCTCTTGGCAATCTATGAATGCTGGAGAACTGATATCACATGCAACAGCCATTACATGTATGAGCATATTTCCCCTTTGAAAATCTGAGCTTCTGTATACTACCATTCATGGGCTCTATGCTGTTCCCAGGAAGAATGAGCTCCAAACATGGGGTGTGCGACCTAATCATGTAGTTTTCAATAGTTCCCTTCCTTAATTTCTGCATTTAACTAACAGTCTTTTCCAGAATTATTTTCCAAATAAGTCTGTTGAACTTAAATCTGTGTCACAAGTGACTCTTTCTAGGGAATCTAATCTTATTTGATATCACTTTTGGTAAATACATGCTCAAGTTGAGATTATTACAGGGACTAATTTAGTAGACTCACGCCAATTAAAAAAGAAAATGCCTTGGTGGAAAAGAGGCCTTAGCTCCAGTAAATAATAGCAGCCAAGAGAACTGTTCCGACACTTGCATCATGATGTTACAATTACAGCTATGGTAATTTCACCAGAATGGGAAATTGAAGAGGGCACACTTGGCCTTTGAAAGACAGGAGAACAAAAATAATTGTAAAGCTAAGTGCTGAGGGATCATTAAATTCCACTGAAGAAAATGGTACCTGTGGACCAGCCAACTACACACTAACTCCAAGGTAAGAAACCCAGAAAATTTTCCCAAATTGAATCTCCTTTCCTACTGTGGTCAGCATGTCCTAGGAAAGAAGGTTCTAGTTCTGAGAATCAGAAGTATAAGGCTGTGGCAGAGCTACAGTGTCTATCCAAACAATAGGGTAAGACAGACAAGGTCATGGGTGTATAATGCCCTTGAAGTGGCTGTGCTCTAGGCTGCCAATATCTGTTTGTATAGATACAAACTATTCCTTCAAGTAGAGTGCAGAGGCTTCTCTGATCCTAGAGACAACAAAAGATGATATTTATTCTCTTTATCATCTAATCCCATCTCCTCTCATTGCTCTAGGCAAGAAAAATGTCAAGTCTCAATATACACCACCTGCATAGGTACAGTCCGTGCCAGGAAAACAACAACAATAAAAGAATACTCAACAGAGAACAAGCAGGTCTGTTGCATGTAAGGTAGCAGAAGCCAGGAGTACACCCAGGGAGTGGATTTTGAGAGACCCTGAAGCAAAATGCACTTCATTTTAATTTGCTATAGAGAAACAGATACCACCCAGGATAAGAAAATGCAGGTCTTTCTGTAGAGGAGTAAGCAGCTTAGGTGGTTGGCCCTGAAAGGAGAAATACAGGAAGATCCACTGCTGCCCCCTGACATACACCTTGGCAGAGTTGAAGACAAAGCTGTGAATAATGCATGGGACAATGAATGAATTGTGTCTCACCTGCACATAGAATAGAGGCAGTTCATCCCCAGGTAACTTACTAGATAGTGAAAGGACAAAATGACTTCCACTGGAACATACCATCTCTGTCTGGGGCAATGACAATGGTTATAAAATAGGCCATGAATTAGTAGACAAATACGAGAAGAAAAGTGGGTATACTTAGAATGGAGACAGCTATTTTTTTTGTTTGTTTGTTTTTGTTTTGTTTTTGGTTGTTGTTTTGCACATGGTTTGATATAACTACTGCACTAGTGAATGACAAATGCCACTAGCCCCAGTCCATGTCAAAATCCCTGACATAGTAATTCCTTTTAAGGAAATCAGTTGCCACCTGATGTAAGAAATTGTTATATATTGCCACTTTAGGAAAGGGGTAAAATTTTGCTTCAAAGTTCACATAGCACTTGGCTTACCCTGGCAATCTGTTTATATCCTCACATGAAGCAAACCTTATCAAAGGAAGTCCAACCATAGACACATGTCCAAAGCATTTATAGGACCTGACTTGTGTTACACCTCTAGATTATTCACCTTTAACTACGCAGCTAAAGCCCCAGCATCAGATGACAATCTGCTCGCAGATGCTGCTCTATGCACATCATGATTACATCATCTCATGAAAAACAATCCTTAAATTTTCAGCCATTTTTAGGGCCTCTTGACCTTGTGCTAGCAGTTTGAAATCTGCCATGGTACTTTTCCATGATGAAAAATCAACACAGCCTATAAATCATGTCTTCACACTAACCTACTGTCTCTTCAATCAAGAAAGAGAATGCATAAATGTTAGAGCCAATCTCCAGTCACTATAACTAAAAGAGTCTCACTTAGGCACTGTGTACACTCTCTCTCTGGAGTGTGGAGGTATGTTCTGTTTTACATAAGCATGAGGTAGAAACCATGGATCCAAAGGCCTCTGGTTAAAGTGTTTAGGGCATCCTAGCTACTGATGCTGTTGTAGAGTTTGGCAAGAGTACAGGGAAATTGGGATGGGTGTTAGAGAAGAGAAAGACTATGAAAAACTACTACTTTGACACAGACTTAAGAAGCTTACCACCCTCTTGTACCATATTATGTTTTACTATTACTAGTATTTCTTTTTAAATAATTTTTTAATTTAAATTTGAACCGAAGTTGTTTTACATGTCAATCCCAGTTCTGGTACCCTCCCATCCTCCCTTGTTCCGCCAATTCCATTTCTTTTCTGCCATTTTTTTAAAAATGAGATTAATCTCCATCATTTTTTAATTCATTAGACACTGATAAGCTCCCTACCTACAGAATCTATAATTTTCATGTTTAGAATACCTGTGTATGGCCATTAGTCTGTTTGCCTACACATGGAGGGGGCTAATATGTCAGCTTCCTAGGGTTTGGGGCTTGACACCTCTAAAACGACTACTCCAGGTGGCTTCTAGAATTTCTAAGTAATTTTTTTTCTTTTTAATTAAAGTCTTAGTGCCTAGATTCTCCTTTTCCCTGCCTCACTCCTTACTCTTTACCTAGTGCTAGTACTGATATTTCTGCAAATAAACTACTTCAACCTAGACTGATGTTCAGGTTTTGAAGAAGCCAAAAAGAAAAAATTAGCCATATTGAATATTTTCTGGCCATTACATATGACAAATTCTTTTTTGTTGTGCCAAAAGCAACATTTAAAGCCATTCTAAAGTTTTTGTAATCTCTATGTTTCTACACAATTGAAGATGAGTAAGTATTTAAGTATTCATTGAGATGGTCCTCATGCCATTGTGTCTCAATAAGAGCTTCACAGGGTTCCTGTGAAAAAATAATGGAATAGCTTCATTCTTTTTTCTCCCTGGGAATTATACACCATGAGAACTTTTCCAAGGAATCTTGCATTGTCCACAGTGGGTTCTACATCCCACCCATACTATCATCCAGGAATACCTTTTTAGGATCAACTCCTCTCTATTGTGGCATTACTAATCTAGCTACCTGAAGCATCATTAGCTTTAGTATTATAATAATCGCCTGCTTCCACCAACCCAGGAAAGGGAGATAGTTGTATGCAGACTATAGTTTCATCCTCACCAGTGATTTTAGAGGAATATCCATTCTCAATGGTTCAATACAAAGCAATGTTAACAAAGCACACTCCTCCTTCAACCATATCTCCCTAAATAAAACCATTTCAAATATGAGATTTCTTCCACCAGAAAATGACCATGAAATTCATTGCCTAAATTACATAGATGAAAATGAGATGTGCATATCTTGTTTCATTTCCACTGAGTGCTGTACTTTCTACCTACAATAAGGTCTAAGGTGCTTCCAAGAAAATTTAATTGCCTCTTTTTTCTTCTGTTAGAAAAACCACAATGCAATAAGGTTAGTTGACCAGGTCAAAAAGGAGCATAACCAGCAACAAGCAATTAACTGTTCAATCATGTTGCAAGATGCTACTTAATCAGATGTCCTGAAGGTGCCTGTGGGTAGAAGGGGTCACGTTACTTATACAGGCTCCATAGAGTGAAGGAGAGGAATGCCTTTCATTCAGTATTCATCATTTAAACAGATGTAAATGCTAGGGACCTCAGAAAGGTAGTGTAGAACAGCTCATAACCAGCTTGTACCATTCCTACACCAGCTCAGGACACCTCAGAGTCCAGTGCCCAGGGAGACAGATAGGTGTATTTCAGAAAAAAGAGCCACTCATACTCACTGAAGCTACATTCACGAAATCATCATCCGAGAGGGTCTCTAGCATTTCAGAGACAGATGTTCTGATGAGCTTCAGAGTCAATCCACTCACACTTCCACTCCTATGAACAGACAAATGGATCCACATGTTACTCCCCAGTCATTTAACAAACAGCATCATAAAGAAAGTTAATGATCTTTTTAGCTTCAGGATCATTTACATAAAAATAAAAATATAATTCTGTCTTTAAAAAGTGGTTAGCCCTGAAATCACATACAAACAACTAACATAGAGACTGAGCAGGCCATATATTTGAGAGAAAGTGTATAGCTTTAAAGATAAGAAAGGGAAGGGGAAAATGATATAATTATATTTTAATTAAAAAATAAAAGTCAATAGAAAAAATGGATAGAAGAAATTAACAGAGCTGCACAGCTGTGATGAGGTATGTGGCCAAATGCCTCGCTCCTCAGACCAAAGAACAGATCCTGCAGGGTTTCTTCATCTCTCCTGTTTCTACACCTCCTCTAAGGGAGGGCTCATCTCTAGGCAACGAACTCCCACTTCTACATAATAAATAGGTGCATACAGATTTTCATATGGTTTCAACTTGCAACAATATAATAAATTAACAAAAAATATTAACGCAGAAATTGTTCATGTATATTATGTCCTACTGATAACATTTAACATGATCTAAATGCCTATAGTCAATATAATTGTTTATGGCTAAGTACCAATTAAGTTATATTTTCTTTTTCTTTCTTTTTTTAGTTTAGTAACAAGAACTGTGAGCTTCAATAACTCTATACTTTAATATTGTTCAGAATTGAAAACTTAAATTGAAATAATAAATAATTTTGAAATAATTTGTCATCATTTTCCATTTTGATACAAATACAAATAGCATTTTTTTCATTTTCAATAAAATACTTTTTCTAGTTTTGTTTTCATCAATGTGCACACATCTGCATGTGCATGCCTACATTTGTGTGTATATGTATGCGCATAAGTGTTACGTTTGTATGTTTGTAATGTATGTATATGCATGTGCATGTTTGTATGTCTGTATGTGATGTGTGTGCGTGTGTTTGATGTGTGTGTGTATCTGTGTCTGTATGTGATGTGTGTGTGATGTGTATGATGTGTATATGCATGTATATGTATGTGCATGTTTGTATGTCTGTATGTGATGTGTGTGCATGTGTGTGTTTTTTATGTGTGTGTGTATCTGTGTCTGTGTGTGATTTGTGTGTGATGTGTATATGTATGAATATGTGTGTGCATGTTTGTATGTGTGTGTGTGATGTGTATTTGATGTGTATGCATGTGTGACATGTTTGTGATGTGTGTTTGTGTATGTGTGTTTGTGTATGTGTGTTTGTGTGTGATATGCATGAGTGTGTGTGCACGCATGTATACATATATGCACTTGTAGAGGTCAGAGGTCGATGTTAGGTATTTTTCTCTACCACTCTGTACCAGTTCTTGAAGACTGGCTCACATAGTAATGCTGGGACAAACTGGCCCTTTGGATCATCTAGTCAGCAAGCCCCAGGAATCTTGTCTCACCCTATCCATAGTTAGCATTACAGGCACAAACTCCTGTCCTGTCATTTAAAATTTTTTTTCATGTAGATGCTGGAGAAATGAACTCAGATCTTCATTTTGTACAACAAGCAGCTTATTGACTGAGCCAACTTCCTGATCCCTTGTTAATGTCTTAATATGGCTTTTTTGCATATGCAATCATCACATTAATTTTTTCCAGTTCATCACAGATTGCTAACTTCCAGAAAACTACTATTACCTATAAAAGTCTCTCATGCTTTAGAGATAAAAAGATAATATTCAACTACTCACACGTCCACCAGAATAAGCATGTCCTTGGGGGATGCAGCACCCTGGATATACCTGAAACAGAACCACAGAAACACTTCTTTTCCTCTGGGTCTAACACTGATATTTGCTGTATTATTGTTCATAGATCTCTGAAGCTAAGATCTGGTTAAAGCACAGACTCATCCTATTACAACCATAGTAAATGATGAAATGTTAGTTTGAAAAAAAACATATTTAAGATTACATTAGAGATGCTCAAGTTATGGCTTTTAAAGCATACTTTCCAAATATTTATAGGAAAAGATAGAGATAAAATTTAACATAAGCCATGCATAAAATTAGTTTCCAAAAGGAATTTTTCCTGAAGAAAGAAAATACAAAATTCCAATTATGAGCTTTTCATTGTAGTAGATAACAAACTATAATTTTAAATACCACCTCCCAAATGCAAAGAGATACATAGAATATAAACTTGAAGAAAAAGCAACTTAAACAAAAGGAAACACAACAGGCCCATTAAATAACTGAAATTAAGCACTGGATAATGTTATTTCTAAGAATTCAAAGCAGAAACTCTTAAAACTTTAAAGTGTCCAAGAATAACGCTGAGAAGCAGTTCAAATGTTAATTCTACCATCCTACCCCTCTTACAGAACAAGACTCTCTGCATTGGAAAGATACTTTAGGGTAGATTTATGGAGGAAGTTATGTAGAAATAAATTTGAGAGCAGATGATTAATGAGAGAGATAGATAGAGACAGATAGACAAACACACACACACACACACACACACACACACACACACACACACACACTGCTTGGCTAGAGACTGAATGGGAACAGACAATGAAGGGGACCAGATGTCCACATTCCTCAGAAGGAAGGGCTGCATGAAGACTCAACTTTTCACTGACAGCAGGCGAATTCATCCTCAACCATCTAGAGCACAGCTGCTACCTGCTCAGGATTTCCATGGAGGAAGAACTTCAGGGCACTGCCTGCAATCCACTACATTCTCTCTGTGCAGGAATAGGAAAAGTCCCTCTCTTTTCCCACGGTAGACAATCCGGCTCATGGCTAGAATCTAACACTGTCCTGGTTAGCATCTGTCCCAGTGTGCTTCTCAGTGGGAAGATGAAAAGATCAGGGCAGTGTTTGCTTTGGATGATTGACACATTGTTCTTACATTTCCCATAAAATCACCACTTCTTAATACTAACTGTGTTATAAAGTAGTACTTGCTTACATTAAGTAACAAACTGTAGGGATGTTATTAATAATATTAATATTGGTAACTATTGCTTAAGGTGGTGTTCATGTAAACAGCTATTTGATACTAAACAGGACACCTAAAAGTCATTAATACATATTCTTCCAATCAATCACTATGTTGCATAGAATTTTTGTGAACATTGCACAAAGTTGGAAACAATTGAAAAATTCAATAATAGGGATTTTATTAATTGAGTAAGCAGATAGACTTTATTAAAATGTTAAGATTTCTTTTCATCAATATTGTACTTAAGAATTAGAATGAAAAAGGCACAAGATACCTCTGTACATGTGAACTCTTAAAAATAGTATATTTACAATTTAAATGTTAAATTTAGATACTCAAAATCAATAGTTAAAAGGCATGAAATTTAAGAGTTATTTTTCATTAAGCCCAAACATACTGTTTTGTAGGATGATGAATTATTTTAGTACTATCAAACAAATAGAATGCCTTTGGGGGAAATCAAATCTAAATTATATAGATATACTTGGGCAGCATTCTTAGCTTGGGGCCAGTCCTCATTAACTTACTGCCAGAAGCATATTGTCTCTGATTCTATGTCAACTCTCTGTTATGGCTCTACCCCAATCAAAGTAAGAATCCTGAGAGTGCAAAAAGAGAGTGCAAGCTGAAACTGAATATAAGACTTAAAGTAATCCATTTGAAAAAAAAAAAAAGTCTGAAAAATCATTGTAACACTGTTCACCACCATTTCTTACCTAGATTCATCATTTTCATTTGTTATTAATCACATTTATATTTTGAAAATATGCCATTATATATAAGGAGATGACACCTATCCCACTAAGCAGAAATTTACCCTGAAAATATTAACAAATAATAGAACCCTCTTTCATTGATCTTATCCTTAGGGACAGTAAAAATTTCATACCATGGTCTTCTGCGTACATCATACAAATCAATCTTGTTTGGAGTTCTACTATTATCCACCCAGGGAGAAGCTGAAAGACAAAATATATTAGAGAAACCAAGTCAAAGTATAAGCATGACTGAGTTGGCAAGACACCTTTGGGGGTTTGGGTGCTTATATCAAGACTGACAATTTGGATTCCATCTCTAGGACACACCTGGTAGAAATGGAGACAGTTGTAATCTGCTCTCTGCCCTCCGTGCCCCCCAACAAACACACACAAAGGTAATTAAGCTTGATCAACAAAATCAATAGGAATGTTCAAATACAAAATAACATTTTCATGTCACCAATGTTTTCTTTTTAAAACTGGAAAGTAAGACAACAGTAGAAAAGGAAACCAGTGTAAGCCATGTCCTCATGTTGTCACATGAGTCAGCCACAGGAATTTGTATGGAGTTAACTTAGAGGTTTTCCCTTGACAGAGAAAGTGCAGCTAAGGAAAAGGGTGCTTCCAGATAGTTGCTCATCCTGTTTTCATCCAATACAAACTGTCCCTGAGTTCAAGACTATTTTTCACCAGGAATGGTGGTGCATGCCTTTGATTCCAGCACTTGGGAGGTAGAGGCTCTATGAGTTCAACGCCAACATGGCCTACAAGGACTTCCAAGTGAGCCAAGGGAAAAAAAGTGATATCTTCTCTCATAAAAATATTGTTTTTCTTGGATTGTTATCATAACATAGCCTTATCATAGAATTCATAGTCACATGTTTAATAAATAATGAATATTGTTGAAATGATTTATCAATTTCCATTTCTAATGACTATTTTAAGTTTATGCTCTGTTTCAGGCTGAAATTATGGATAAGTGATTAAACTACAGTGAAAGTTAACTATGATTATTTTTGTCAAACTGCTTTGTAAGTACAGACCCTTGGTGGGTTTTTTTTGTAGTTCTCTTCCTTCATAAGGGAAGCTCCTTTTATAGCAGACAGACACGAATATACAGATGCACAACTGGCATTGTGGAGAAAAATTGATGGTGAACTTCCAAGCCCCAAATTAAGCATCTTCACCAAACCATCTCCCCCTAATGCTCAAGGAACGTCACTGAAAAGGTTATGCAGAGCTTATAAGAGCTAGATGGTGGGAGGACTACCACCAAGTAGCATCTTCTACACATGACAAGACAGCTGCACTCAGGAACTCACTGTATCTATAGTTGTGAGCCTTGCACAAGATCAAGTCAGTAAGCAGTCTAGCATGGAATAAGAGAGGCTTGTGAGGCTCAAGGGGAGGGCAATTAGGGGAGGCAGCATTGAGCTGGTTTCCTTCAGAGATATAGTAGCTGGCTTTGTAGCTTGCCCATGTTCATGTGGACAATTCTAATTGGACTCAGCAGGGTATACAGGAAAATGCAAAGTAAATTGAAACAGGAGAAAATAAGTTGAAAGAGAACACAGATGGGCTAAGAGGTTCTGAAGGACTTAGAGAGAACAAGAAGGGGGGTGGTATGATGGAGTACCACATTTTTCCTTGTGGTAGTCTTAGAACTGACTTGGTGTATGTGGGTAGATACACCAAGTCCATTCCAACTATCATACATGCAATAAATACTGTTTAAAAGATAACAAACAAAATTTTAGCTTTGCAAATTTATTTGAATGATGTAAATTTATTCAAGCAGAAAGTCATTCATCTATTAGTTTCAAAAACTATCGTATTTCTGAAACTACATACTGAAACTAAAAACTTATTGGCTTTTTATATTGATTTTAAAATGTAACTGATTCATACTTATTCCAATAAAGTCAACACTCTGATCAAAGTGCACTAAAATTCTTAGTGCACACCCACAGTTTGGGCCTACAGAAGGCAAGTAAACTTAGTTCATTAACGGCATGTCAGCTTGATGGCATGGAAGTCCCATACGTTGAAAGTATCTAGACATGTGACTCAAGAAGATTCCTACTCAGATGATATATGCACTGTGATACATTTCTTCATTTTCTTTAGTAAGAAATCATGGAAATTATGGAGACAGTTGGTGAGAACCAGGCTTATTATCCAACTAAGATAATTTGGCCAATTAGAGTATGTCAAAATACACACACAACTTAGGAAGCCCTTCTTGACTGGGAAATTACATATGCATAAGGTATATTATGAAATGACTTATTCATTTCAAATGACTAATCACATTTACATAAACTGTAAGTTTAAATATAGCAATCCCCAAAGAACCAATTAGTGACATAGTTAAAATAACATCCATTAAATTTATTTATCTAAAATTTGTTCAGTTTTCATCCTTACAATCTAAAGTATCAAGGATATAAATACCACACTTTTCCTTGCGGTATTCTTAGAATTAAGCAACAAGTATGAGGATAGACACATTACTTCCCTCTTAACTATTACTGTAAAATATCAGTTACTATCTCAATAAATGAATCATTTAAAGAAATTGAACACAAGTTTCAATGCCATGCCTCTGTTTATAAATTCTTTACCTTTTAATTATAATGCATTCCTTTGCTTGATTAAAATGATCTGAACTTTTAAAATACTTTTCCGAATTAGCACATTTCCATGTATTATGTGCATATGATGCAAAACACTGAGTAAGAATGGGGTATTTCTTGTATTATGTGTTTTGTTAGCTCATGTGTTCTTGACCATGAGTAAATTGTCTGGTGTCTGTCTACTGCAATGTATATGTGTTTCCCAGACTCAAGCTCCCATTGTTTTACACTTTCCCTATTTCTCCATGTTTTTGTAGTTTCTGAAGATCCACTAAGCTTCTAATAGCCAGCAATTGCTTACTGACACTGAGTTAGTCACAATCCTCAGGACCCCCCAAGCATTTTGTTTTTGTTTTTGTTTTTTTGTTTTGTTTTTCTTACAGAGCTTCCTGTTAACATTAGTAATCCTAGAGGATCATTTCCTAGCAAATTGTACCAATATGGCCTCCTATTGACTATCTGCCTTTCAGAGACATACCGTGCCTCTAGAGGAGGATTAGGATCTCAGGTCAGAGTATTGGGCCATGAAAACTGTATTTCAGATTTAGAGGCCACTATAGATTAGACTATCTTATAACATATCTGGCATTCATAAATTCTTTATGAAATTCCAGAAGTCCAACAAACCTCACTCCAATCTCTATTACAGTTAATAATTCTTTCCAATTTGTTTATGTGTGCATGTCTGTAACTTATGTGGCAGATAAATGCTCAAATGTGTGTGTGTGTGTGTATATATATATATATATATATATATATATATACGCACGCATATATATATATATATATATATATATATATATATATATATATACATATATCCACCAACAGGATCCTGCAGGCCAGAGAGGGACATTAGGTCTACTATCTACTATTGAATCACCTTCTACTGACAATCAGCAAGCCCCAAGAAACCCCTTAACTTAGCCCATCCCACAATTCTGGGGTAGCTGTCTCACAACCATCTGTAAGTTTTAATGTTGGGGATATTTGCTTTCACTAAGACTACTAAATGAAATCTACTGATATGAATTATTATGAGCTATAAAATTTCTTTAAAAACACAAGAAAATTAAAAGGCTATAATTTACATTAAGGGCAAGAACATTAAATTTTAATAACCTTGCTAATCTTAGGTGGTATATATTTTTAAAATAGTTATTTTCTCATAAATTTTCTTGTATATTTAAGAGAAAGTTATGCTAAATTAGAGTATTTATATTATGGCAAAACTAAAGAACATAAATTCTTCTGTGATATCACTAATTAGCATGTAAAATTCCAACATGGTATTTAAGTGATGTGTTATTTATCCAAGGTCAAAAGTATGGAAAATCAACTAGTAGTTCCTTCAAATTATGTTTCATAACCATTCATAGTAGAACTACATTCTGGAAAGGAAACCAGAGTTTCTCAGGGACCTGGAAAAGGGGATAGTTTTCATCTTAAATATCTCTGCAACATTCCATTAAGACTTGAGGATAGCTGGAAAGAGGACTATAGAAATAGCCCAAAATGGCAATCACATTTCTGAAGGGATCAATCATTGAAGGTGATAATGATCATTTATGAGAACATTTTCCATGACCAAAACAAACAAAACAAAACCAAAGAGGGGTGGGGAGGGAGAGATACAGAAAGAGGCTGAGCTGTAGTTGTGTCCTCTGCCTGCTAATCTATTACAATATTATTTTGCTTTCCATAATATTTGGAGTATGCAATGACAGATCCATTAGTACAAGAGGGAGGTCCTGTACATGATCTCAGAATACTGGTATCATGTGCTACAGGAACATTCTTGAGAAAGCATGCAGATTTTGGTTGCCTAACATGATAAATGTTGCCTAACAATAAAAACTATCCATTTTTTTTGATGGGGGGATGTCCTTCTGTATGTATGTTTCTCTTATTGATTGATGATTAATACACTGACCTATAGCCAAGAAAGGCAGGAAGATAGGTGGAACTAGGGACAAGGAGAATTCTGGGAAAGGTAGGCAGTGAGGTGTGGAAAGAACACTATGTAGCAGAGGAAGGAGTAAGAAGTCTGGATCCTTCTCCCGTAAGCTAATACTTAGATTAATAGAAATGGGTTAAGAATTAAGAAAAGAGATAGCCAATAAGAAGCCCTAGCTATTGTCCAACAGATTAATAATTAATATAGCACCCATGTGTTTATATGGGGTTGAAGCATTTGTGGGACCAGGCTGAGACAGAAGCTCCAGCAACATATTTTCATGTCATTTATTAGTAGAAACATCACTTCAAATGATAGCTAATTGCACTTCATTGGTAAGTTCAAATGTATTTTAATAACTCTAGGAGACTTCAATTAATTTCATGAAAATTTAAAAAGCAGTACATTTTATACAATTAAAACAATGCCTGTACACTCTCACAGATCTTCTTTTGGTGTCAATGATAGGCTTATCTCAATCATGTCCTATAGAATATTAGGCACATACTGAATTAAAACATAAGCAACTGTGATTCTTTGTTTTTTAAAAAGGAAGAGACCTAATTGACTCATTTTATACACCCAACAAAATTTACAGTTATCATCAT